AAATTTAGGGAAACAAGACCTAAGCCTTCAAGGGCATGGTGGCAGCCCATGAGCAGAGAAGACACATGGGCTGTACTTTTGCAACAAGACACCCTGGCTGCATGTCATTTTCTAAGGGTGTTTTCCTCAGATTAGGGGCAACCCTAATCCTGCCCACCCCCATATCACAACCACCCTTGGTAAAGGTTCATTAATATTGCCTAGCTCCAGCCTGGCCAGTTATCCTGAGAGGCAAGTTCAAATCCTCTCTCTTGGACCAGATGAGAGAAAAGCAGGACCCCACAGGCCAGTCTAGTGGTGGCTAAAGTGAGCAGATGACCTGGACAAGGACCTTAGAAGCCACAATATAAGTAAGTATATATAATATTTGTCAATTAAAATTATTTTTTTTTCTAGCACTCTGGGAGGCTGAGACAGGTAGATTGCCTGACCTCATGGGTTCAAGACCAGCCTAAGCAAGAGCTAGACCCCATCTCTAAAAATAGCCAGGCATTGTGGGGGCGCCTGTAGTCCCTGCTACTTGGGAGGTTGAGGCAAAAGAGTCACTTGAGCCCAAGAGTTTGAGGTTGCTGTGAGTTATGATGCCACAGCACTCTACCGAGGGCGACAAAGTGAAACTCTGTCTCAAAAAAGGTTTTTTTTGTTTTTACATTTTATTTTATTTATTTATTTATTTTTTGAGACAGAGCCTCAAGCTGTCCCCCTGGGTAGAGTGCCATGGCATCACGCTCACAGCAACCTCCAACTCCTGGGCTCAAGCGAGTCTCCTGCCTCTGCCTCCCAAGTAGCTGGGACCACAGGCGCCGGCCACAACGCCCAGGTATTTTTTGGTTGCAGCCATCATTTTTGTTTGGCGGGTCCGGGCTGGGGATTCGAACCCGCCACCTTAGGTGTACATGGCTGGCGCTTTAGCCGGTTGAACTATAGGCGCCGAGCCTCTTTTTACATTTTAAAGAAAGCTGTATTATCTATCTATAGTAGTAGTTTAAAACAAGGGTTCTGAGGTCAGACCATCTGAGTTCAACATCCTGGATCTACCACTTTACTAGCTCTTCATGAGAAAGTCACTTAACACTCTGGGCTTTGGTTTTCTCATCTACAAGATAATAAACAGGACCTGTCTCTTAGAGCAGTTTTTATTATTAAATATGGTGATCCATGCTTGACACAGTGCCTGGCCCACAGTAAGTGCTGGGCAAATGTTAACTAAGAGGAAAAACAAATATTGTGCATACCTATTTATACTTCCTTAGACCTCTGGCTCTCTCACTGAGATGGGGTCTTGTTATGTTGTCCAGGCTTGTCTTGAACTCCTTCCACCTTGGGCCTCCCAAAGTGCTGGGATCACAGGAATGAGCCATGGTACCCAGCTACTCTCACCTTATTTATTTATTTATTTATTTTATTTGAGACAGAGCCTCAAGCTGTCGCCCTTGGTAGAGTGCTGTGGCATCACAGCTCACAGCAACCTCCAACTCCTGGGCTCAAGTGATTCTCTTGCCTCAGCCTCCCAAGTAGCTAGGACTACAGGCGCCCACCACAACACCCAGCTATTTTTTGGTTGCAGTTTTCCTTGTTTGGAGGGGCTGGGCTGGATTGGAACCCGCCAGCTCCAGTGTATGTGGCTGGCACTCTAGCCTCTGAGCTACAGGTGCCAAGCCTACTTTCATCTTTTGACAAGCTAATTTCTCTGCCTGAAACACCTTCCCCTTCACAGCTTAACTCCCATTTAGGACTCATCTTAAACACTCTCCACAGGTTAGGTGACCTTTCTAAAAGCTCCCTGCTAAAAGCTTTTATACCATCCATTACTCTTCAGGAATACAGCACTTATCTCATTCTCCTATAATTGCATATCTGTATGCCCTTTTCACTCAAGTGTGAGCCTCTTTTTGGCACAGGCTACCTCTTTTCAGCCCTGTATCCCCCACCCCTTCCCTGTGCTTGGCAAATAGCAGACCACCCAAGCCCCAAGCCATCACTCAGCCTTGCCTCAGATTTCTTCCACGTTCTGGAATATGGCTTCTGGGCTCTCCAGGGCTAAGCTGTCCCCTCCTGCCCTTGGCTGTCAGGCTGCCTGCCATCTCACCACCAGAATGCCTTCCTGCTGCTCTTCAGAGGCCCTCTCTTATTCTTCAGAGACCAACCCCACCCCAGTTGCCAGGCAGCCAGCACTAGCTGCCCCCGTCCTGCTGGCTGCTGTACCCTTCTTGTGGAGGTGCTAAGACAGCCTTCCTGGCAGGCGGTCTGCTTCAGCTTCCCAGTAAAGTTTGGCTTCTGCCAATGTGTGTCTGGTCTCTGCGAGGAACACTATCTTCCTGGGAGATTGTCTTACTTCCAAGCTCTCTTCAGGACCAAAGATAAGAACCTCTTTTTCCATTTCCAAGTGTTTCAGGCCTCCTAATAGAGGTTTCTGAGGGCCAAATGTAGCTCTTGGTTCATTTGCAGAAGGGGCAGAGCACAAGCCACTGTGGGGAGGTGGCTAGAGCACCCTGAACACCTGGAGGGACCACCAGCCCACCCACTATTTCTCCCCAGGCCTGTAAGAAGGACTCTCATTCCAAATGAAGCTGAGAGTGGTCTTAGCAGAGAAAAGTGGAGAGGTCAAAGGAACCATGGCCCAGACGGTGTGAAAACAACAGGGCTGAGATCCGGCTAGACCTCCCTGTGGGCTAGAGGTGTGTGACTGTCCTCTACTGTCCTTCTGCATTTCCACCCATGGAGTTTCCACGGAACAGGCCACCCTATCTCTGTCATACTAACTGGTTTGACCAAGGGAGAGGGTTGGGACTGAGGGCTCTGATGTTCATGTGGGCACTTGATGATGGTGACTGGAATCAGAAGGATTGAGTTAATGGGGACATGTGAGAACCTTGGGTTTAGATTGAAAGCCTATTCCCTACCGGCTGCCCCTCACCCCTGGCTCTCAAGCTCTCTTTGCAGAATCCAAGTGTGACATGGGTAATAAAGCTTATATGGGTGACCCACATATGTGGTCACCTCCCCTCACTTCCCCGGTACTCCCAAACTGTCCTTCAGAACTCCTGGGAGAGGTTTTACAAACTTCCTAACCTTTTGCAGCATAACGCTGCAAGAACATGAAAAATCTGCCAATAATAAGGGACCTATTTTTCTGAGCAGGGATGTTTTCTCCTAAGGTGCTGCAGTGATGTGTGTGTGTGTGGGGGGGGGTGTGGTCATTGCTATGACAGGGGCAGTCTGAAACTCTGAGAAGGCACTTCAGGCTGGAAGGCATTACTCCCAGGCCCCCAGGCAACTGAAGGGACCAGGCGGTTCTGGCCTGAGGGAATCATCCTGCACACCTAGCATCCCCAGCAAAAGTGGGGAGATGGCACTGCAGTCAGTGATGGCAAGGCTGGCTGTTTCCGAGAGTGAGTCGGGGGAATTGCTGCAGTGATGGGGAATCCTCCTTTGGTACTGGGAGTGAATGCACAAACTAAAGGTACCTGCAGGGATGAGGGAGCTTTTCTGCAGTATTGAAGGATCACTTTGCAAAAAAGGGACTGACTTCTTGAGGGAAAAGTCCTAACTATGGTGAGGGGCCGCTGGGGTTCCCTGCAGTGCGGGGGGAGAGTCACAGCAGGGCTGGTAAGCCTACCCAGGGAGAGGGATGAGGTCGGCTGGGTACCGCGATAACAGGATAGGTGGGGTCGCTGCTGGTGTGGGCATGGTGGGGAGGAGCTGCAGACTGGGTGACTCTGCTGCACTTGCAGAACCCCTCATTTCCCGAAGAATAGAAAGGGTGGGGCCTCGGCGGTCTTGGTCCCGCACTGCTGGCGGACCGAGTGGCCGCGGCAGAGACGCGGTCCCTGCACTGCGGTGCCCTGTCTGGCTCCAGCGGCCGCAGCTGGCGCGGAGGCGGTCCCTCTGCCGCAGGAGGGGGGAGCGTCAGCCCAGCCGCAGCGGCGGGCGGGGCCCAGGCGGGCAGGAGGGGCGGCCTCTTGGAGCGGGGGCGGGACCACCCGAGCGCAGGCCCGCGCCCCCGCTGGACTCAGCCACCGCCGCTGGAGTCGGGAGCTGGGGCCGCTCGGGTTCCCGCCCAGCGCAGCCCGGGGTGCGGAGGCGGCACCACCCATCCCGGTGGCGTTGAGGAGCCCAGAACTCTGCAGAGGACGCGAGGGTGAGGCTGAGGTTGAGGCTGCCCACAGGGAGGGGGACGACCCCAAGACCCAGCTCGCAGCATCCCCTCAGGGGGCAGCGGCGACTGCAATCGCCCACTACTTCCAGATCAGCTTTGCCAGGGTGGGGAAAGGTGCCCTGGACGGATCCCATGGACTCCCCCTACCCGACACCTCTCCCGGTCTTGCCACCGTAAGACCCTCCTCTTTCAGCTTCCCTTCTCATTTTTTCCATCCCAAACCCCTCCTCTGCCGCCCGCTCCGGGGTCAGAAGAGGCACCAAAGAAAGACTGCGGCCCTCTCCGCTCCCCATCGCACTCCGCCCCTGCTGTCCCTTGAGGGGCTGGGGACGCCAGGAGGATACTGGCCCTTTAAACCTTTGCTCTCCACCCAGAGCATCTTCCATCTCTCCACCCGCGCTTCTTCCGACAGCTGGCAGCCGCGGGGAGCCCCGGGGGGCCGGCAGGTACGGGGGGTGGAGGTGAGGCCCGGGAGCGAGTGACAGAACAGCTGTGACCACCCCCCCCCAACCCCCCAGAGAGCGGGCAGCGGGACTGCTGGGCGCCCCGAGCGCCAGTTAATCATTAACCCTCAGTTCCCTGGGTCCCCGCGCTGCTGGGAGCTGTGCTCCACCCGGCTTCCCAGGTAACCAGCGAGGATGCCATCTCGCCACCCACCGCCCACCTTTTCTTATCTCCCCCCTCCACCTGTCGGGCTGGCCGGTGCCGCCGGCTCAGCCCTGCGTCCCCTGCGGGCTAGGTCCCCGGGCCTGAGTTAGACTCTCGCCGGCTTTCCGGAACGCAGGTGGGGCGCCCCGGACTCAGCCTGAGCACCCGCCCCCTAGGCCGGCCTCGCGGCACCATGCCCGGCCTGTACTGCCCCTCCAGCTGGACGCCGCTGCCCCTCACAGACTCCTGGGTCCGGGCCTGCGCCAACGGACCGTGCCTCAGCCTGCGGGCCCGGCTTACCTACCACAACCCGCAGCCGCAGCCGGTGGACGGTGAGGCGGGGCGGACGCTGGGTGGTGGGGACCCGGCGCCGGGCGGGGTCCGACGCCACCTCCTGCCCGCCCCTCCCCGCAGGCGTGTTCGTGTACCCACTGGCCGAGGCTGAGGTGGTGTCTGGCTTCGAGGCTGAGGCGGCCGGACAGCGCGTCTCCTTCCAGCTACAGAGCCGGCGCCGCTCGCAGGCCGCCTGCTGCCGAGCGCTGGGCCCCGAGTTGGGGGCCGCCACGCCCCGCCGCTGCGCGCAGGGTGAGTCCTGTGCCCGCACCGCGCCTCCGAAATCCAGCCGGAGCTCAGGTTCCCGCACCCGCTCTGCGTCCCGCCCTTTTCCCCTTCCTGCAGGCGCTGATTTCTTCATTCATTGATTCATCTCTTTATTCAACAGGCATGTACTGGGCACCTAACCTGTGCCAGGTGCTGGGAGAATACGGCCCAGGCCTGGCCCAAGGTTCACAGCCAGGGACATAGACACAGCAGGCAGCATGAAGCTTGCTGGGGTACCACTGGCCCTTCCTGCAGGGGAGATATAGATTCCCCAGGGTACTGCAAAGGGAGCACTCTCCTTAGGGGTCCCCTCCAGCCCCTTGCCTATTAGGCTACACACCTCCTCAGCTGTATTCGTGGATCCTGGATCAAGTAGGAACCCCTTTGTCCTCAAGGCCCTCACTCCTCATTCTCACCTCATTTCATTTCTCTGTCCTCTCCCCACAACCAGGTACCACAACCACTGGCCACACTGACCGGTCCTCTTACACTTCTTGCTTTCTCTTCCCATCTTCTAGTGATCGAATTTGCACTTGTCCTTTAAATCCACTCAAAAGTCACTCTTTGGGAAACCCTCCCTGAGTCCCTCACAAACAGTTAGCACCCTGTTACAGTTAGCTCCTAGCCTTTTGTGCCACCTCATTTCAACACTTAGTAGGGGACATAATCTTCACAGATCTATAAGCCTGTCTTCCCCTCTGGAGCATTGGTTCCTGAATTTAGGACTGGGTTTTGGTCATCTCCAAGTCCTAGCATCTCACACAGAACAAGGCACAAAGGGGGCCACTGAGTGCTGGGAGGAGGGGATGGAAACTCAGGCCTGTGTAGGTACTGTGGCTTTCACTTCATTCTTTCTATTTTTTCACTCATGCATTCATTTGATTCCTACCATGGGATTTGCCATCTGGGTAAAAAGAAGGATAGGATCCAGTGGTGCTGAGAGAGGCCAGAGTGAGCTCTGGGCTAGGCCTGGGGAATGTCCAGAAGGAGGCAGAGCTAGCATTTGACTGAAAGCAAAGGATGGACTTGGTTAAGTAGAGAGTAGGGGAAATGGTATGAACAAAGGTTTGGAGTAGGTTATATGGGGTACAGTCACTGGTATCCCCTCATTTGAATCCTGAGTGGTATATTATGCCATAAGATGTGAGCCACTGAAGGAGAACACTCCAGATAATTTTAGAGGTGTTACAGTCCTTTACTGTGGGAGAACAGCCCCGAGGATTTAGCAGTTGGGGATTTTATAGGGGTTGAGCAGGGCAAGTCAGGGACTTTTCAGGTGTTGAGCAAGCTTGTTTACAGAAGCAGAACTTGGTTGGGCAAGCACATACAGCTTTAGTCACCCAACAGAAAATTCCACCAACAGTTCAAACCCACAAACTGAGGGCAAACATGGCAGCCTCTCCAAGATAGAGTTCCTCTGGTTTCTGTTTCTGACTGCTTCAGACCTAACATTCCCCACTGGTTTTGTGTACCTTATTCAAATCCTTGATTCGTCCTTATCGGAGGGATACACTTGTGGGCTTGGTTTAGAAGAAGCAGTTTCACTCATCCAATTCTAGCTCCTACATATGCCATTAATCGATTTACTACACACGGGCCTATGGTAAGGAGGAGCAATATTAGGAGGAGGAGTCCAGCTAGGGCAGTTAGAAGGGTAGTGAGCCATGGGGACCAGTTAGACAGGGACTGAAACCAATTATCCTGATCTTTTTCTGGATATACTTTGTTTTTAATTTTTTTCTTACCATAGCTAGTTTTTCCCTTATAACCCCTGATTGGTTGGCATAGAAACAACAGTCTTCTCCCAGAGCTACACAGAGGCCCCCTTCCTTCATGAAAAGAAGATCTAGCCCTCAGCAGTTTTGTAGTACAACTTCTGCCAGGGTGTCTATCTGGGATTTGAGTCGGGAAACAGACTGCTCTAGAAGTCCCAGGTCTTTGGCCACCTGCTTACTCAGGGTTTTGAAGTTGACATCTTGTAGGGCTAAGGAACTGGCCCCCAGGGCTGCAGTGCCTGCTATCCCTGCTGCCACTAGTAAAGGAACAAGTATTGGGGTCCTTCTAGACCTAAGGGTAGACAATCCAGTATGGGAGTAAATGTGTTGTCTTCCACCCTCCCAGTCATATATATATAACATGCACTAACACACAGAAAATAGAGTGTTCCTGGAAGAGGCTGGTGGAAGCACATCAGGTAATTCCTGTAGTGCAGGTGAACGAAGTGCCTTCAGGGGCTTGGTAAAAGGTCACCTGAGTCCCCTCAGTATAATTTACCATTTGAGTTGTTGAACAAAGCTGGGCATAGGAGGAGGTACTTAGGGAGAAGTTATGGCTCATAAGGCAGAACCCCTGACCCTGAATATCTCCTAATGTGAGGCGGGGTTGGGTCCAGTCACATGCCTCAGATGTGCCAGTACTCAGAGCCGTGGTGGAGGCGTTGTATCCAATGCCTACATAGAAAGGGGGTTCCAGTCATAGGCATAGCCAACAGTCAGTCGTAAGGTCTGGGCTAGAAGAATTTAAGAAAGCATATATCTCCTGTAACATGTATAAAGTATGAGCTCTCAGGTGTGGCAGGGGTAGGGTATTGCAAGCTAATTTCAGGCTCAGGTAGAGGAACATTATTTTGGGGGGTTGGAGTGGTTGTGCTGGGTTTTAGAGTGACTGGTTGGGGTTGTGGCATGGCCAGTTAGGGTTGTGGCCTTATCTTTAGTAGGTTGGAATTGGGTCCTATGGGAATGGGAGGAGGATCTGGTCGCCTCTTCTGAATGACAATATCGTGGTCAGGGTCTGGCCCTGTTACATACAAGCCAATACCCCAACTGATCCCTGTGGACCATTTGGGCCCAACTACAGTGTACACGTTTGCCTATTTCTTCGGGGTGATGATCATTGAGTTACAAGTGCCTGGCTGGGAGCAGGTCTTGTTAGGGGCTTTATGAATAGAGACCTAGAGGTCAGTGTGAGTCCAATCTGCTTCGGACTCACAACCCCAAAATCGGCAGTGGAAGTAGCCATCAACTTTGCATTTGGGGTCCTTTCTGGCCCTGCAGGCATAGAATTGCACCTTCCAGAGGCCTCTTGCCCCCGGGGGGTTCCCACATGAACTGTCCTTTCCATAGCCCCTTAGATTTCTTTTTCTCCCTAGAGTTTGCCCTGGAATTCCGTTTTCGGAACCCCATGTCACATAGAGCTACTTTGAAAGTGGGCTGGTTTGTGGTGGTTATACACTGGATTATTTCCCCAGTGAATGCAAGTTTTAATTCCCAGGTCCAGTTTTGGGGTTGGTGTATGTTGGTGTATGGAGTGCCCAGGGTTGAGGAGGATAACAGGGACACTATCAAGCATGTCATGAAAATTAAAATTACTAGGGCACCCAAGAGAGTCTTATCTTTAACGGGTTGTTGATTTTCTGTGCTGTCCATCGCTGGTCCCCTAGTTCTGGCGGGGCAGGTTTCATGTGGGAATGATGAATCCAGGCAGGGTTCCCAGCAACCTTTACTGCTGAGAGGGTGACCAGAATCACAGTGTAGGATCCCTTCCAATGAGGTTCTAGAGTCCAGGCATTGAACCACTTGATCAGGACCAGGTCCCCTGGTTGGTGGGAACAGGGTGAGATGGGAGGAATTAGGGTCTGGGTGGCTCTAACAAATGAAAGGATCATATGGAGGTGGGTCTGTCGATCTAGCAAGTCACCTCCCTGGCTGCCCACCACAGCCTTCTGGGCCTCTGACAGAATCCATTCCCTCTCTTTAGATGTGAAGAGGGCATGGAGGAGCTGTTAGCAATCATCCCAAGTGGGCTGGTGGATAAAGAAATGGACTCCAGAAGTAAAATTAAGGCCTGAGGCTTCTCAGAGAATGGGGAATTTTGGTGTCTCCAATTGTACAAATCACTGGAGGAGAAAGGAACATAACTCTTTCTCCTCCATATACTTCTTGCAAGGGGAGTACAGCATCTGAAGAGGAAGGGTCTGGGGATGCTCTGGAAGGAACTCCATAGGCCTGATTAATGTGGGTGTGAGGAGGAGAGCAAAAATCAGATAAGGGGGGGTATGGGGTTGGGGATCAGGGGACGAGGATGGCAGCAGAGGGGGATAAAGAGCAGGAGAAGGGTCCCAGGATGGGGTAGTAGAGAAGGGTGGAGGGAAGTAGGAGAAGGACTGGTAGACAAAGATAGGACTTCTGGGGTTAAGACTGAGGGGCAGGATGGAGCCAGGTGAGGGTATGGGCTTGGAAGAACAAAATCTGAAGTCAGGTCCAGGAGATCATCCGTCTGAGGAAGAACAAGAGGGGCTTTGGTTTTGGAGCACAGGGATGAGGCCACTAGGATCCTCCTTTCAGTTTGGAGGGAGCAACCGCAGAGCCACGCTGGTGGTGACTTGCGGTGACTCCCATACCTCTATGTAAGGGAGTTGGTCAGGATGGCCTGGCTTTTCCATTACTACCCTCTGGACCGAGTGGCAGAGGGCTGGGTCAAAAGATCCCTTGGGTGGCCAACTGACCCCAAAGGAAAGCTACTCCAACTCACAAAGAGTTCAGAGGCGGCCCAGGAGAATTTGACCCCGAACTAAGCCGTTTTTGGGGGGGAAAGGCTTGTTTAAAGTGAGTCAGAAAACAATTGAGGGGGGTCTGGGGCCTGGACTGTGCGCTTCCCATAATCTTGATCACCGTGTGATCAGGACTTGCAGGACCTAGAATATCCTGGACTTTTTTCACAATGGGGTACAAGAGGGCTAAAATGGCCAGATCCTGCAGGGACTCTACCTCCAAGCTTAGGCTCTGAAACCAGGTTCTGGGTAATCCAGATGGCGGGGGTTGGGGGGGAAACTCCTGTTCTACCAGACGTAGCTGCAGTTGTAGTCAAGTTGACTTTGGTGAGGGGGCAAAGCTACCTCCAACCCAGGACTTAAATCAGGGTCTCTGTAATATGCCTGAAGCAGGGCGAAAATCCCTGATGCAGGCGTAGTTGGCTCTTGGAGGACAGGCCCATGAGGGGAGTAAAGGAAGTGAGATGACAAAACAAATGGACTAGAAGATTGGTAGGATGGGAGTTCTGGACTAACCAGGGGATGAGTGTGGTAGAACAATTTTTCCAAGAATTCCTTTGTGACTGGTGGCACCCGACTGTCCAGCAGTCCAGCAGCCCAGTAGGTGCCACAGATATCCTCCCCTCTCCCAAACACACTGTTCCCCAAGATTCTCCTGTCTACAGTAGCAACACCAAATAGTCTCTTGATAAAAGAGACAGTAGTGGGCGAGATCAACCTATTTAGGAGAGTCCAACATGCGGGGGGCAAGCCCCTTCCCAAGAGTGCAAACAGGGAAGGCTCTGCGATGAGTGGGCATATGGTTGGTGCCAACATTTGCAATCTGGGAAACTTAGATGGGGATGGGGGGTTGGGGGTGGGGAAGAGGGGCCAAAGTCAGTGATGATGGGGCATCAAAGAACTAGGGAGATGCAGAAGAATTAGAACTAACTGGGAAGAACACTCCAGGTGGGGACAGAAGCACAAACAAGGTCACCACAAAGAAATATAAACAAGTCAGGGCTACGTGCTCTCCAGCAGACCAGTCTGGAGGGGCAGCTCTGCCAAGCCCAACACCGATAACAAGGATGAAGAGACCAATGATTGCCAACCCAAAGGCACACCAGGCAGTGAGGGGTGTGGGACACATAAGAGCAATTAGATAAATGAGGTGAAGTCTGGGGAGTTCAAAACCTGGAAAAAACTGAAAGTCCCGAGGCCTCCAGGGAGATCAGAAAATGAAAGGAAGAGCACTGATATCAAGATAGTCCATCAAAGAAGAAAAAGGAGGAGGAATGTAAATATAGAAATCTCTCCCGGGTGAAACTCCAAGAGAGTTCCCTGAAGAAACTGATCTGTGATCCCCTCGAATAAATCCTCAGGGTTAATAGACGGGATCCTCGCTCAATTGTGGAGGAGACTTTTAACAAACACTGAAAATGACAAGGCACACACAAAGATGACTGACAGCTTAGACACAATCTTATGGACATGGACAAATAAAACCCAGAATCAGACTCTCAGGGCTGGAGACCTGCCACAGAGTCCTGTGAAGAGTGGGGAGGGGAGATTAACGTCATGTTTGACCTTCCCACTTCCCCAGGAAACTGCAGTTATCAGGAAAACTTAGAATAGATTCATTCTTACCTTTGGAGGGTCAGAAGGACTTGTAGCCAATTGTCGTCAGGCACTTCCCCTGGGTTTCTCGGGACTGGAGGCCCTGGAACATCTTGGGGGGTACCTCCCCTCAGGCCCTGAGGGTTCCTCAGGGGAAGAACTGAGGACTTCAGGTATCTGAATGTTGTATAGCTCCATCTCACTGGAGCCTCCAAATGTTATACCATAAGATGTGAGCCACCGAAGAAGGAGAACACTCCAGATAATTTTAGAGGTGTTACAGTCCTTTATTCTAGGTTGATCAACCAGCTGCCCCGAGTCTGCAAGACTCTGGGAGAACAGCCCCAAGGATTTAGCAGTGGGGGGTTTGTATGGGTTGGGTGAGCAGGGTGAGTCAGGGACTTTTCAGGTGTTGAGCAAGCTTGTTTACAGAAGTGGTACTTGGTGGTTATTTTGGGCAAGTGCATACAGCTTTAGGCACCCAACAGAAAATTCCACCTGCAGTTCAAACCCACAAACTGAGGGCAAACATGGCAGCTTCTCCAAAATGGAGTTCCTCTGGTTTCTGTCTCTGACTGCTTCAGACCTAACAGTCTGTAATGCAAGCATTGCTCCCTTTCCCCCTTTTATGGGAGATGAAAATAATAGCAACTGTCACTTACTTGTATGTTCAGTGCTTTGTATACTTTATCTCATTTGTTCCTCATCACAATCTGTGTGTGTGTGTGTGAGGGAGAGAGAGAGAGTCTCACTCTGTTGCCTTGAGTAGAGTGCTGTGGCATCATAGCTCATAGCAACCTCAAACTTCTGGGCTCAAGTGATCCTCTTACCTCAGCCTCCTGAGTAGCTGAGACTACAGGCACCTGTCACAACACCCGACTAGTTTTTCTATTTCTAGGAGAGATGGGGTTTCAAGGAATTCCCCTGCCTCAGCCTCCCAGAGTGCTAGAATTATAGGTGTGATCCACCTCACTTGGCCTCACTACAGTCTTTGAGATATAGTTATCGTGATTCCCATTTGATGGCTGAAGAAACTTAGGCTCCTCAGAACAAGAGTTACCAAAGGACACATTAGAAGTCATAGAGCTGATACTCAAACCTGCTGCTGTGCTCTCTCTGCTCTATCAGCTGGCTGAGATGAAAGCCCCTTTCTTCCTCCTTAGCTTCCTTTCCATCTTTTTTCCTCTTCATTTATTCAGCAAAAGAAGATCAAGTGATTATTGTGGGGAAGTGAACTAAAGTAGGCCTCTAAAGGTGGGCTGGAGCCAGAAAAACACACCCGGTCATTATTCCTTTAGCAGCAGTGCTAACTGCCATAGCTTTGCCAGTCCCCCAAATAAACCTACAATCTAAATAAAATGGTGTTCTGGTATGCAAACTTAGCATGTCCTCTAGCCTGCTTCCAAGCAGATTATTGCCTCTAAGCTCCTTTCAGGTAGAAAATTCTGGAACCACCCTAGTGGGCAGTAGAGAGCTCTAATCATTAGGGCCTAATGGTTCATGAGTGGGAGATTTATGAGTAGAGTGGGTCTCAGGCCACAGGGAGATGTCTGTCCACTAGGGATGATGCCCAAGGGTTGAAAGGGAAGAGGTAGGCAGGGAAAGAGGGGCATAGGCTATGGGTCTCCAGGGCCTTTGGGGTGGACATACTTCCTTCTCCCCAGCCTGCCTCTCCTGCCATCATTTATCTCATGCCTCCATCCTGCATCACTGACGCCTTTCCCAGTGTCCCATCAGTCATGCAAATCCCCCTTGCCCAGGCTCCCTGACTCAGTGCCTGCTTCCTTCTCTCTTCCCCCACCACCTCTGCTTCCAGCCCCCCTCTAACCCCTCTTCTTACTTATCATAGGTCATCTTGTCTTGGATCTGGCCCAGGCCCAGTCCATGCTGGTGCTGCCCACAGGCCTTATCGCTGCTTCTGGCACCATGACAGTGACCCTGCGCAGCAGCCGGGAGCTGCCCTCAAGGCCTGATGGGGTGCTGCATGTTGCCCTGCCCACTGTGCTCACCCCACTGGCCCCGCCAGGCCCACCAGGGCCCCTCAGGCCTCCGGGGCTCTGTGACGACAGGTTGGGCCTATGGTGATTCTCTTCGTCCCTTCCTCGGCTTCTCTGGGTCTAGTGCGGGTGAGGGGGCTTTGGCAGGGTACCCAGGGGATGGGTAGGGTGAGGAAGGGCTGGGTCAGTAAGCCAGAGGGGCTAGGGACCTTCATAGTGGCCCAGTGACCTTCCTCATGCTCCCTTCCAGCCCCACCAGCTGCTTTGGGGTGGGCAGCCCTCAGGAGGAAGGGCTGGCCTGGGAGGAGATGGCTGCCCCTCAGGACGTGTTCTCAGGCCCTGCCCGCTGCCCTGCCCCATATACCTTCTCCTTCGAGATGCTGGTGACTGGGCCATGCCTGCTAGCAGGTGGGTGCATCTGGCCTGGCCTGACCTCTTTTCAGATGCTCTCCTGTCCCGGCATAGCTGACTATGAAATAATTCCAGACTCAGGGATGGGAGGAACATAGGATAAAAAGTCAGGGACCTAAATCTTAGCAACTTTCAGGATAATGGTGGGAGCGTCCCCTGGCTGCCTCTACTCAGCACCCCCCTCATTTTATCTAGGTAATTTATTTATATCCTACCCCACCCACCAATGGGAGGACAGATCAATTGGCAAAGTGGATTTTCCTTGTACAAAAGGTGGTGATGCTAATTGTTGGTATATAACGCTTTGACCAGCCAGGATCAGAGCTGGAAATCCATCTCCCAGCCCATGAAAGCAGGAAAATCCTTCCTTGTCTATCTGACCCCATAGACCAGACTCTCAGAGCTGAGCTTCCCACAGCCATTGTGATGTCCGTGCTCTAGGTACTGGCTTGAGGTGATGGTTGCATCACCCCTTCCTGGCTCTATGTCCCTCAGGCCTGGAGAGCCCCTCTCATGCCCTGCGGGCAGATGCTCCCCCTCATGCCAGTTCTGCTGCCACCATCTGTGTCACGCTGGCAGAGGGCCACCCCTGTGACCGGGCCTTGGAGATCCTGCTGCACCCCAGTGGTAAGCAACCAGGATACATAGTGGGCCGACTCAGGTTTATTTCTGAACAACCCAGGTGGCATCTTGCAAGTACAGATGTCTGGGCCCCAGACCAAGGTGCTGAGTCATTTGTGAGGGTGGGGCCCATGCAGGGAGGCTGGACCTGCATGCTCCTTCCAGGATGGTGGGACTGGGAAATTGGGGTCCAGTGGCAAGGACTTCCCTGACAGAGTTGTGTCATCTCCTCTCAGAGCCCCATCAGCCACACCTGATGCTGGAGGCAGGAAGCCTACGCTCCGCAGAATATGAGGCCCAGGTGAGGGCCCGCCGTGATTTCCAGAGGCTGCAGCGAAGGGACAGTGATGGGGACCGGCAGGTATGGGCGCATGGGCTCCAGCCTGGTTCCTGGCCTCACTGCTGTTTACATTTGTGCATGAGGACAGGTGAGTAGACTCACGTTGGACCTCCTTCCCCAGCAAGATCTCTCAATGGCTGTCACCCACCTTTACAGAGGGCAGATGCCAATCTCTCTGGGATGTGTCCCACAGGATGGAAGCTAGGTCTGACATAGGCAGAGGATAGCCACCTGCCTTTATTCAGATTAATACAAAAAGATCCCTCTGGGTGGGTCAGATAGAAAAAGGTGCCAGGAGAGGCGGCACCTGTAACTCAGTGGGTAGGTCGCCAGCCACATATACCAGGGCTGGCAGGTTTGAACCTGGCCCAGGCCAGCTAAAACAACAATGACAATTGCAACAACAACAAAAATAGTCGGACATTGTGGCAGGCACCTATAGTCCCAGCTACTTGGGAGGCAGAGTCAAGAAAATCGCTTAAGCCCAAGAGTTTGAGGTTGTTGTGAGCTGTGATGCCACAGCACTCTACCCAGAGACTCTGCCTCAAAAAAGGGGGAAAAAAAGGTGCCAGGGCCAGGTCCCACTGGACACCAGGACAAAGTAGCACTAGCCTTGCCCAGGTTGACTCAGGGCTTCCATGTTCAGATGTGGTTCCTGAAGCGACGCTTCCACAAGGACATCCTGCTGAACCCTGTGCTGGTGCTGAGCTTCTGCCCGGACCTGAGCTCCAAGCCTGGATACCTGGGCACAGCGACTCGGGAGCTCCTCTTCCTGTTGGATGGCAGCAGTGCAGCACACAAGGCCTGTGGGGGCAGGGCAGGCCTGGGTGTTGGGTGGGGCAGCGTGTCAGAGGTGGTTACCAACATCATCTTCCAAAAAGGAACCAGACAGCAACTCCTTGGGGGGATTCCCTTAGGCGGCAACTCTGTCCTAACTCCTAATAAAAACATACACACCCCTATGTCTCTCTCACATTCATACATGCACACATCTCTCCCTGATGCAAAGAACCTCTCTCAAACAGGTACACTCAGAGAGACTTGAGTTTCACATATATCTCCAGAGTCTTTACAAAAGATCTCCTACATACATTCAGGTCTAGCTTGGACAGGCCAGGCCTCGCTCACACATGCTGGGCCTCTCCCAGGTTACTCCATCCAGTCCCCTGTTCTAATCCGGGAGAGGGCAAGCAGTGCTGTTGTCCCTCGCTCTCTACCAGCACCTATGGGGCCTGCCTCACACTGCCCTCTTTGCCCTCCCCAGGATGCCATTGTTTTAGCTGTGAAGTCTCTCCCGCCCCAGACGCTCATCAACCTGGCCACTTTTGGGATGTCAGTGCAACCGCTCTTCCCAGAGAGCCGGACTTGCAGTGATGTGAGTATGGTCTGGGGGCTTGGGGGCCTCATGGAGATGTTTTAGTCCAGCCTGGCACAGCCCATGGCTTCTCTCTCCAGGACACTGTGCAGCTGATCTGTGACAGCATTGAGACCCTGCAGGCTGCAAGTGGTCCCCCAGATGTGCTGGCCGTGCTAGAGTGGGCCATGAGGCAGCCCCAGCACAGAGCCTACCCTCGGCAACTGTTCCTGCTCACTTCTGCCTCACCCAAGGCCACCACTATTCACCGAACTCTGGAACTCATGAGGTGGCACAGAGGCATAGCCAGGTATGGGATGGGCAGAACCAGGTGCCTAAGATTGAGCCCTGCCAAGGGACTCCTGAAGGTCACAGCTGCTTCCCTTCCTTCATTAGGTGTTTCTCCTTTGGGCTGGGGCCTGCCTGCCACCAGCTGCTCCAGGGTCTGTCAGCCCTTAGCAGGGGCCGGGCCTACTTCCTGCGGCCTGGGGAGAGGCTGCAGCCCATGGTGAGCTTGAGCCTGGACCCTGTTCTCCTATACTTGGAAGTCCTCAAGTTACACTTCGCATCTGAAACAAAACCCAGGCAGGCCATTGGGTACCCTGGACCATCAGCTCTGCAATCTGTCCTCTCCTTGATATGCTAGTCAGGGGCAGAACTATTGGTCCTACTGCAGGGTGCTGTGGGAGGCCAAAGCTGCCAGGCCACCCCCCAAATCATAGTTTCAGTTGGGTCTTGGAAGTGAGCCTCACGCTCACAGTCCTGCCCCTTCCAGATGGCAAAGCTCTGGCCAGGAGACTGACCAAGACCTGGGAACTGAGCCCACAGTCCCCTTGCTTCCTATCCCATTTCTTCTCCTGCCCCACACCTGACCATGTTCTCCATTAGCCCAGGGCCTGGGCACATGGCATTGGGGAAGAGCAGCCTTCCGGCTCTGTCTGTGTTCTCTTTCTCTTCATATCTTCCCTCTGGCCACTCCCCATAGCTGGTGCAGGCTTTGAGGAAGGCACTGGAGCCCGCTTTGAGTGACATCTCTGTGGACTGGTTTGTGCCTGATGCTGTAGAGGCGTTGCTGACCCCACGGGAAATCCCAGCACTCTACCCCGGGGACCAGCTGCTGGGTTACTGCTCACTCTTCAGGGTGGATGGCTTCCGACCTCGCCCACCAGGGGTAGGCTAGGGCTGGGCATGTTGGTGGGCCTGGGATGGTGGAAGTCCCTGCATCTCTCCCAAACCCTTCTATTCCCTGTTCCTCTCTCTACTATCTATCTCCTGGGGCTCCACAGAGATCACACTAGGCCCCCAAGGTGACTGCATCCTGTCCCCTTCATGGGCTCTTTCACTGAGTTGTCCTGTAAAGTGTTGCCACAGAAAACAGCACCAGGCCAGGCATGGTTGCTCACTCCTGTAATCCTAGCATTCTGAGAGGCTGAGGTGGGTGGATTGCCAGAGTTCACAGGTTGGAGACCAACTTGAGCCAGAGCAAGACCTTGTCTGTAAAAAATAGCTGGGCATTGTGGCACGTGCCTGGGGTCCTAGTTACTTGGAAGGCTGAGGCAAGGGAATTGCTTTAGTCCAAGAGTTTGAGGTTGCTGTGAGCTATGACACAATGGCATTCTACCAATGGAGACATAGTAAGACTCTGTCTCGAAAAAAAAAAA